ACCCATGAATCAATTCACATGTCTTTGCAAGTCGAACTGTCAAAAGTAAGGGAACATTTGCGTTTCCAGCAACGTTATTCACACAAGCCGTCTACCAGGTCTGTTGTCTCTTTTAATCCAAATCCTCGAAGACATAATTAAGACCATAACCACAAAACAAGTTTGACAAATGAACCAACATATCGCACCAATCCATGAAAATCAATTCGCAAGTCGAGCTGAGACGGGTCGAAATTTGTCAGAGGTAAGGAGAAATTTGACAAACGCGGGTGTCGAATGCATCTGTCAATCACCCGAGCCTCCGTGGGGGGGCCGAGGAGGAACCGAGGGTGGAAGGGTACCAACTCGGGGGTAAACCTCAGGTGCAACTGTCTCAGCGACTGCCAGCGGCCCTGGACAACCGTGGACACCGAACATTGTCCGTCAAGTCAATGAGATCTCGGTGTATTTGCGCCATTTGTCGCACAAATGATGTATACTTGTGAATAAATGCATCGCATGCATGCAGAACAGACTGCAGCGAGTTAGAATGCACATGTGTTAGCGGCCGCATTTGTCTGTAGCTGTCACTTGGACACTGGTCACTTGCACCACTTTGTATCTGTTACTCGAGTATTGACGAGCAAAATGTTGTACATATAGAGATTAATTTGCATTTGAGTAAACTTGATCGAGGCTAATGACTTTTTTAAATCAACTCTACTTGTAGAACGCTTCAAATTGCACACAAAAATAATGTGATGTTGGAAAGAAACTTAATGTTTTCTCACTTGAAAACACAATTGTAGCAGTGTTCTTTCTACAGCAGAACACAACTATTATTGAGATCCCTCCTACGGTTCCAGTTACAAAATAAAAACGATCTCACCTGGAAGGAGGAAATATCGCACGAACGGGACTAAAAAAGCCTTATTACGATGTTATTAGATAAATGAATATAATTTTAATTTATTGTTGTGGGGGGGGGGGGATATTAATAACAAGTTCAGGGTCCATGATTAGGCGTAGTTAAACGACTGCTGTTCCAAATAACAGTTTTAAGGTTAAAATATGGAGGTACCGGTACGTGAAAGGTAGCCTACTACTTACACTAGGAAAGCCTATTAATACAGCGCATGCTTAATAATCAATAAATATATGGAAAAAGGAAAGTTATTCCCCTTTGAGCAAATTAACTTACTTTGACTCGTCACCAGGTGGTATGATGAGGTTTTGTATGATTAGACATAGTTATCGTTTCTACTTTTCGTCTAGCTATATGATTAAACCTTGTGATAGTTTATGATTGCCAGCGTTGTCGTTTGGCATTGTAGGCTAGGTACTTTAAGACTAACTTGTCACCTGGTCGTATGATAAGATCTCATTATCATTTGGCAGGTTGGTCTTCGAATTATTATGTGGATACTGGACGAACGACTGACTAATCCTTCGTTTAACAATTATTGAGATTTTCTACTTTTTGGTTAAACCAAGTGATCGTTTATGATTGACCTCGTTATAGCTTAGCAATTTAGAATTTGTTTCGACTTGTCACCTAGCTGTATAATTCAACATGATTGGCGTAGGTTTGCAAGAAGTGCATAGCTGCTTACGTAATAGTATGTTATCACTGTGTCTGGCCGTTATCTAGGAGCTACGACCCTACGACCTACATTCTCTCGGCGGAGTTACAAAGTGATGAGTTCACCTTCTTGCGTCAAACCACCCTTTAATTGGCACTTCAATAGATACACGGTCAGTTAATTTCAAATGGTGTATACAAAAAGTTAACACCTCATATGGTTTATCGCAATATAGTATTGTATTTTATCAACAAGTATTGTATTGTTTTTGCTTCAAATATTTAATTTATTTAATATGTTTGTAAAAACTGTGTATATTAATATGCATTTTAGGTAAGATTTGAGCATTGCAATTCTTAATTGAGCGAAGCTCTTAGTACTACATTCTCCTGCTTTTGTTTTATGTACAAACTTCTCCTGAACGGCTGAAACGATCCGCATGAAATTTTTACAGTCATAGTAACCAACTATGGGAAGGTATGAATATGAAATTGTACATAGGACTAAAGGGCTTTTCTCTACGTGAATTTCAATTATTAGAATTTTAACGTGGACCTTATGGGTTTATTGGATTATTTGCAAGAAAGCAATAAAAAGGCAAAGAAAAAAGTTGTAAAATGTTTGTCAACGAATCATTTAAATTATATTTATGTGAATAAAAATATACCAATTGTCATTGGATATTGCAAGAAGAAATTTAATTTATGAGAACCAGACGAAAAATTGACTTTGGATACTGCAAGTAGACAATTCATTTACGTGAACCAAAATGTACCATTGAGTTTGGATACTGCAAGTAGACATTTCATTTACGCGAACCAGACGTATAGACTTTGTATACTGCAAATAGACATTCCATTGACTTTAGAACTGCAAGTATGGATCTCATTTACAAGACACAGATGTAGCATTGATTTAGGAAAAGTATTGGATTAATATGCTAGCTCCGCTCAATATTGCAAGCAGACAACAACTGCTACATAAACCTAGTTTTATTGTTATTCTATAGCCTTTCTAAGATACATCTACTGCTAAAACATCAGTCATCACGACGTGAAATTCAATCAAATTTTAAATTGTAAATCATCAACAATGAGGATTCAAGTTGCATTTTGGACCATGTAGGAACAGTTTATTGGAATTTTGTACAGTACAGTATAAATTTGTAACGTGGGTAATTGCCTTGGGCCGCAATCACCCATAAAATTAACTACAACTATTATTGTAAATAGTTAAATTCTTCTTATTAGACCTAATGGTAGTAGACTAATAACATGAGTTTACAGCAGACTAAGGTACGGATCTTCCTTTTTCCTAAATATCCCTAAAATTATATAGAAAATATTGTAATCGTACACTGATGTAAACGTTTTCTGTTGAAATTGTTTTTAACGAGAAGCGTGTGCTTACAATTATCAATCCTCGATACGTATACGTTTGTTATCAGGCTACATCATACAAGACCGGTGAAACAAAATATTACAAACATACAAACATCAATCAAGGTTTATCAATTTACCTGTTTTTCTTTATAAACAAATTGGAGCTGCGTGCAGCCAATTTGCGGTGGCGAGCCTGGGAAAGGACGTGGAAACTCATAAATTAGATTGCCAAATATTCTCGACCGTAACGACGCAATTTCGGCGGCTAGACGTTGCAATAATGAATCTGTACGGTTAAACGGCTAATTGGATGTAATGAAGGGGGCTAATTGTTACCCGAGGTGGTCCGAGCTGGCGGCAAGGGGAGTGCTCGATATCGGCGGCTCATTGATAACAGGAGTGCTCGATATCGGCGGCTCATTGATAACAGGAGTGCTCGATATCGGCAGCTCATTGATAACAGGAGTGCTCGATATCGGCGGCTCATTGATAACAGGAGTTGTCGATATCGATAGCTCATTGATAACAGGAGTTGTCGATATCGGCTGCCCATTGATAACAGGAGTGCTCGATATCGGCGGCTCATTGATAACAGGAGTGCTCGATATCGGTGGCTCATTGATAACAGGAGTGCTCGATATCGGCGGCTCATTGATAACAGGAGTTGTCGATATCGGCGGCTCATTGATAACAGGAGTTGTCGATATCGGCTCATTAATATGATTGTATGAATGAACCATCGATATTGGTGGCTCATTGGTAGCAGGAATTTTTGGAGTAAATATATATATATCGGTGGATGTATAACATGAATGTATGGAGAACTGTCAATATCGTTGGCTCATTGATAACCGAAATATTTTAAGGAACTGTCTAAACTAGCGACGTGTTGATGACATGAATATATGGAAGAGCTCACAATATTTGCGACTGATGGATAAGAGGAAGGTATGAAGAACTTTCGATGACGGTGGGTCATTTATAACAGAAATGTTTGGAGTAAATATATATATTGGCGGCTCTTTGTAACATGAATGTATAGAGGAAATATCGGTATCGGCGGTACATTGATAACAGATAACTCGTCATTGATAACCAAAGTAAAACCAATTTTTTTTAAATACATATTTTCCCCATTCTCAGTTTTCGATTTACCATCTATAGAGTTTTTATGGGTTTGAGTGCAAATTATTTTAATAATATCACACGCCTGTCGGTAAAATATTTTAAGATAAGCTGACCAAACACACAGTCCCTAGTTTACCATTGTCTTGTTTCTGTTTTGTTATTGCTCTATTTATTTGTTGTTAGGCTAGTTTTATATTGTTATTGACGAAAGTTGTTCTGAGAAGCAGTATTTGTACTGAGAAACGCTTGATAAATAAAGGCATTTTTATTTTATTTTATTTATTTATTTACCTTACCCTGACCAAAAAGAGGTATTTATCCAGTGGACTTAAAAGTGTGCCTGTTTGTGTGTTTTTTTTCGTGATACTACAGTACAATCAAGATGATTATCAAAGCAGCCAGTGTTTAAACTTTTGTCACGCACAGGTCGATGAGACAATTTTTCTATTTATAGTTTGTGAGGCTTTATTACTTGCCACAATTAAGATTAATCAAATTAAATGTATGGATAAACTATCGGTATAGACACCTTTTTGTTAACACGAATACCTTCCAAAATTTGTGGCTGATTGATAAGAGAGAGATACTATGGAGAAACATGCGATATCAGACAGCAATGCATAAGAAGAAAATGTGGAGTATCTTTAATCACGGGTGGATTATCGATAACATGGAGAAACGTCTCATTGATACCATTTCCATGTATGTTATAAATGAAACGTCGATATCATCAGCTCACTGATAACGACAGGAATTAGAGGAATTGACAATTTCTGACGATTATTGGCAACAGGAATGAATGGATTACATGCCGATATTGGAGCTGATTGATTAGAGGAATTGGTGAATCATTGCCAGAAAGTGTAGCAATCGTTTACAATTAGTTAAGTTAAACACACGGATTAGTGCGAACATAAAACTAACTCACATGTTTCCATATGCGAGGCATGAGGTGACATGGGCCCTGTGAGGCCCTTGCACGCGGTAACTACCTCCGTCGAAGCCGTCACGTTAGTGTCGTCTTCCTCAGGGACTGTAGGCCGCCGCGGACTCGTGGCTCGGCACAGCAACACCAAGGGCAACAACCACCAGGGGAACAGAGCAACTCGCGCCGTCGTCACACGCTCCGACCCATCTCATCTGTCAACAACAGGAACACAATAAAGCAACCACAACCACCACCAGGGGAACAGAGCAACTCGCGCCGTCGTCACACGCTCCGACCCATCATATCTGTCAACAACAGGAACACAATAAATCAACCACAACCACCACCAGGGGAACAGAGCAACTCGCACCGTCATCACACGTTCCAACCCATCTCATCTGTCAACAACAGGAACACAATAAAGCAACCACAACCACCACCAGGGGAATAGAGCAACTCGCGCCGTCGTCACACGCTCCGACCCATCTCATCTGTCAACAACAGGAACACAATAAAGCAACCACCAACCACAACCACCACCAGGGGAACAGAGCAACTCGCGCCGTCGTCACACGCTCCGACCCAACTCATCTGTCAACAACAGGAACACAATAAGGCAACAACAACTCCCACCAGGGGAACAGAGCAACTAGTTCTGACGTCTTGTGCTTCGACCCATAACATCCTGTTAACAACATAATAACAATCGAGGCCAGGGGAACAGAGCAACTGGCGCCGACGTCACGTGCTTCGACCAATCTCATCTGTAAAACAACAGGAGCAGGTTGACAATGAGGCAAAAACAAAGACCACCAGGGGAACAGAGCAACTAGTACTGACGTCTTGTGCTTCGACCCATAACATCCTGTTAACAACATAAAAACAACCGAGGCCAGGGGAACAGAGCAACTGGCGCCGACGTCACGTGCTTCGACCAATCTCATCTGTAAAACAACAGGAACAGGTTGTCAATGAGGCAAAAACAAAGACCACCAGGGGAACAGAGCAACTGGCGCCGACGTCACGTGCTTCGACCAATCTCATCTGTAAAACAACAGGAACAGGTTGACAATGAGGCAAAAACAAAGACCACCAGGGGAACAGAGCAACTAGTACTGACGTCTTGTGCTTCGACCCATAACATCCTGTTAACAACATAATAACAACCGAGGCCAGGGGAACAGAACACTGGAGCCGACGTCACACGCTTCGACCAATCTCATCTGTGAAACAATTGGTAGACAATAAGGCAATAACAACCACCACCAGGGGAACAGAGCAACTGGCGCCGACGTCACACGCTTCGACCAATCTCATCTGTGAAACAATTGGTAGACAATAAGGCAAAAACATCCACCACCAGGGGAACAGAGCAACTGGAGCCGACGTCACACGCTTCGACCGATCTCATCTGTGAAACAATTGGTAGACAATAAGGCAAAAACAACCACCACCAGGGGAACAGAGCAACTGGAGCCGACGTCACACGCTTCGACCGATCTCATCTGTGAAACAATTGGTAGACAATAAGGCAAAAACATCCACCACCAGGGGAACAGAGCAACTGGCGCCGACGTCACACGCTTCGACCGATCTCATCCGTGAAACAATTGGTAGACAATAAGGCAATAACAACCACCACCAGGGGAACAGAGCAACTGGAGCCGACGTCACACGCTTCGACCGATCTCATCCGTGAAACAATTGGTAGACAATAAGGCAAAAACAACCACCACCAGGGGAACAGAGCAACTGGAGCCGACGTCACACGCTTCGACCGATCTCATCCGTGAAACAATTGGTAGACAATAAGGCAAAAACAACCACCACCAGGGGAACAGAGCAACTGGAGCCGACGTCACACGCTTCGACCGATCTCATCCGTGAAACAATTGGTAGACAATAAGGCAAAAACATCCACCACCAGGGGAACAGAGCAACTGGAGCCGACGTCACACGCTTCGACCGATCTCATCTGTGAAACAACAGGTAGACAATAAGGAAAAAAACCACCACCAGGGGAACAGAGCAACTGGCGCCCACGTCTCATCTTATCTATTAACAACAGGACAACTATAAAAAAAAGAACAACAACTATCAGGAGAACATAGTAACTAGATTCGCCGCTAAGGGATGTGTGATATCAATATATATTAAGAAAATTGTGTTTTTTATTTTACCATTCATACGATTTGATGTCTGATGCAACGACAAACATAATTTATAAATTATGTAATCAATTCCATTATGAATTTTTTACCGTTATATTTAGGTTTTCAGTAGGCCTAACAGATTATAATCACCCAATTGTTGAAAAAGTATTAATAATCTAGATTGGAAAATAGGAGTTTATGTTTCGCATCGATGATTTTAAAAATCGGGCCGATATTGCGAAAGCAGATAAATTTTCACGTACGACAAACATATAAACTTTCTGGTACACAAAGGTTTCATCGTCTCAATTTACTAAGTAAACAAATAAAACTGATGATGCAACATGTTGGTGGAAAATGTATCCGTATAAACTCTAAATTCAATAAATGTAACAACAATATACTCCGACCGAACACAAACGATGATTAGCTTCGGGTCAAGTTTGGATTGAAAACATTGTTCGGAAACAAAATTGCTTTTCTTTCTAGAAAACAAAAACATCCAAAAGCAAATTACGCTGGGCTAATGACGTAAAAAGTTCAACTTCCCAATTAGAGTTTTGCCAACAAATAGCTACTACGTGCCCTAGGGGGCGGGAGGAGGGTGGAGTTTTTGCTAGGAGCGCCGTCAGATGGGAAATACTATCAAATTTAATTATTTCGTGGAGCACGTAAAGTCAGGCTTCTATTTATTCAACGCTTGCACCAACTTGTTGCTTGTGTAGTTAGTTCGCATGCAGGGTATTTGTGTTTGAATAAGTTATGTTATAGTTTGCCAACTGTTTGAATTGGATTTATTTTGGTTGCAAATCTGATATTCTGTGTACAGTTAACTTTGTGAGTTGATATACGTTAAAATAACTCTGGTTACTTTATTAATATATTTATAGTCTGTGAAACAAACATTCAAGGCAATTTAAGCAAATATTTATCTGTATCCTCAAAGTTTATTGTTGTAAGTGTATTGTGAAAGAAATGGTATAATAAAAGATATAGGCTAGAATAATAAATCCTACTTATGCAATATTGAATATAGTATAATTCCCATTTATGCTTTCTCCTTAGTGGGAAAGATTAATATGGCTAATACAATAATGTAAAACATTCAAATGTATTGAACGGCTAGTTAAAAATGTCCTACAATAATTGAATTTCGAGGTAGGATTATGAACAAATGTATACGGATTTTTTTAACTACAGGTTTTTATAAATAATTATTAGGATATCATTGTTACAATACTAGTAAAAACGAGATCGTTTATTGAGTAGATTTAGAAAGTGAAAATTCGCTTTTACACTACAGATTATAATTCACTAAAAAGCTTGCACGTTCAGCAGTGCTATCTCATCAAGTTGGTTTGGGTTTGGTAACTCCGACTATGTAAACGTAAATATCTGCAGATTCCTCACTCACTACTGACTAGAAACAGAAACTAATAACGAACTACTCATCAATGGTAAATATTAGGCCTACATTGGTTGTAAATAAATGTCCGACGAGATTCTATTCAATAAGTTCTTCTGGTTAAGGACTATCGTACAAATAGCCTGCAGCCATGCCCCCAAAATTCGTGGGTCCCCGGCCGGGACTAGAGCAAACCCCGAGGGCCTAAATTGCTCATAAAACGAGGGGCAAATGGAAAATCCGACCCCGGAGGGCCACAAACCCCGTAGACAATCGAGAGTAAACCCCATAAAAGTCAAGCATGACACATTGGGCAGGTGAGCGGCGAAAGAATCAGTCACCGATGGCTTAAACATCTGCAAAAACTGTCAGAATAGTCGTAAACTGTGACATGGGTAACTTTACGAGTAAACCGTCGGGGAGGGGGTAGGGAGGGGGGGAGTTGACATGTGAAAACTGAAAATCACATCTGGTCGACAACTGGCATGTTGAACATGTATTGTCTCTGTGGTGAGAAGTCCCAAACTGCACCCATCTCCGTAATGACTTGAGAGATAGCTAAGGTAATGAAATGAAACATATATAACAAATTGTCAATATTCACAAATTCTATGTGTGTAAAAATCATTTGAGAAACACTGGGGCACTAAATTTGAACGGAAGTAACACAAGGATACGTTTTTGTGGGTAACTTTTCAAATAATAACTGAAAATAATATCTAAGGAACGTGTGTCGTCAAGCAGCAATTGTCTAGGTAACACGTTTGTATTTAAAAGCAAACCTATGAGTATAAGATAAAATTCTAAAAATATAAAAAAGAATATCGCATTTACCGCGACCACGCAACAAGCCCATAGTTTGGACCGCACTCAAAGAGCAATGCCAAATTTCATTTAAATTGGACGCGTTTTGGCAGAAACTACGCTAATGTATAAACAAACACACACGTGAGGTCGGATTCCAAAACTCCCATCACCGAGCACAAGATAACCAACTTGTCGAGACACCAAACCTTAGCTGAACACTGCATCATAACATTGAACATAGCATCACCGAGCACTAGATAACCACTTTGTCGAGACACGAAACCTTAGCTGAACACTATATCTTAACATTGAACGTAGCATCACCGAAACTAGATAACCACTTTGTCGAGACACCAAACCTTAACTTAACACTACATCATAACATTGGACATAGCATCACCGAAACTAGATAACTACTTTCATGTTGACAGCCTCTGAATCGCTTTTTTCAATAAGTGAATGAATGGTTTAAATACCTTTACTGTCAAAGCGATCCCTGTAGTCTTAGTGGGCTACTGCAGTTTCGATAACCTTTTCATGGTATCTTCTTCAGGCTAGGACATCATATCTTCGTTCGTTTTCACGAACACGCACGAACTGCAGTAGCCTACTAAGACTACAGGGATCGCTTTGACAGTAAAGGTATTTAAACCATTCATTCACTTATAACTACTTTGTCGAGACACCAAAGCTTAGCCGAACACTACATCATAACATTGAACATAGCATCACCGAAACTAGATAACTACTTTGTCGAGACACCAAACCTTAACTGAACACTACATCATAACATTGAACATAGCATCACCGAAACTAGATAACGACTTTGTCGAGACACCAAACCTTA